AAAAACACATGAAAAGATGCTCAACATCACTCATTATCAGAGAAATGCAAATCAAAACCACAATGAGGTACCATTATACGCCAGTCAGGATGGCTGCTATCCAAAAGTCTACAAGCAATAAATGCTGGAGAGGGTGTGGAGAAAAGGGAACCCTCTTACACTGTTGGTGGGAATGCAAACTAGTACAGCCACTATGGAGAACAGTGTGGAGATTCCTTAAAAAACTGGAAATAGAACTGCCATACAACCCAGCAATCCCACTGCTGGGCATACACACCAAGGAAACCAGAACTGAAAGAGACACGTGTACTCCAATGTTCATTGCAGCACTGTTTATAATAGCCAGGAGATGGAAGCAACCTAGATGTCCATCAGCAGACGAATGGATAAGGAAGTTGTGGTATATATACACAATGAAATATTACTCAGCTATTAAAAAGAATGCATTTGAATCAGTTCTAATAAGATGGATGAAACTGGAGCCTATTATACAGAGTGAAGTAAGTCAGAAAAAAAAAAACACCAATACAGTATATTAACTCATATATATGGAATTTAGAAAGATGGTAATGATGACCCTATATGCGAGACAGCAAAAGAGACACAGATGTAGAAAACAGTCTCTTGGACTCTGTGGGACAGGGCGAGGGTGGAATGATTTGAGAGAATAGCATTGAAACATGTATATTATCCTATGTGAAATAGATCACCAGTCCAGGTTCAATGCATGTGGCAGGGTGCTCAGGGCTGGTGCACTGGGATGACCCTGAGGGATGGGATGGGGAGGATGGTGGGAGGGAGGGTCAGGATGGGGAACACATGTACACCCATGGCTGATTCATGTGAATGTATGGCAAAAACCACAACAATATTGTAAAATAATTAGCCTCCAATTAAAGTAAAAAAAAATTTTTTTTTAAAGAACTGAAAAAAAAAAACCTAGATCTTCATGACACAGATAACCACGATGGTGTGATCACTCAGAGTATGAAGTGAAGTGGGCCTTTGGAAGCATCACTATGAACAAAGCTAGTGGAGTTGATGGAATTCCAGCTGAGCTATTTCAAATCCTAAAAAGATGATGCTGTGAAAGTGCTGCACCCAGTTTGCCAGTAAATTTGGAAAGCACAGCAGTGGCCACAAGAATGGAAAAGGTCAATTTTCATTCCAATCCCAAAGAAAGGCAATGACAAAGAATGTTCAAACTACTGCACAATTGCACTCATCTCACACGCTAGTAAAGTAATGCTCAAAATTCTCCAAGACAGCCTTCAACAGTATGTGAACCATTAACTTCCAGATGTTCAAGCTGGATTTAGAAAAGGCAGAAGAATCAGTGATCAAATTGCCAACATGTGTTGGATCATCAAAAAAGCAAAAGAATTCCAGAAAAAACATCTGCTTCACTGACTATGCCAAATCCTTTGTGTAAATCACTACAAACCGTGGAAAATTTTTCAAGAGATGGGAATACCAGACCACATTACCTGCCTCCTGAGAAATCTGTATGCAAGTCAAGAAGCAATAGTTAGAACTGCACATGGAACAACAGATTGGTTCCAAATTGGGAAAGGAGTACAAGGCTGTATATTGTCACCCAGCTTATTTAACTTACATGCAGGGTACATCATGTGAAATGCCAGACTGGATGAAGTACAAGCTGGAAGCAAGATTGCTCAGAGAAATATCAGTAACCTCAGATATTCAGATGACACCACGCTTATGGCAGAAAGCAAAGTGGAACCGAAGAGCCTCTTGATGAAAGTGAAAGAGGAGAGTGAAAAAGCTGACTTAAAACTCAGTATTCAAAAAGCTAAGATCTAGTACCATCTAGTACCATCAATTCATGGCAAATAGATGGGGAAACAATGGAAATAGTGACAGACTTTATTTTCTTGGGCTCCAAAATCACTGTGGATGGTGACTGCAGCCATGAAATTAAAAGAGATTTTCTCATTGGAAGAAAAGCTTTGACCAACCTAGACAGCATATTACAAAGCAGAGACATTACTTTGCCAACAAGTATAGTCAAAGCTATAGTTTTTCCAGTGGTCATATCTGGATGTGAGTATTGAACTATAAAGAAAGCTGAGTGCCGAAGGATTGATACTTTTAAACTGTGGTGTTGGAGAAGACTCTTGAGAGTCCCTTGGACTATAAGGAGATCACAACAGTCAATCCTAAAGGAAAGCAGTCCTGAATATCCATTGGAAGGACTGATGCTGAAACTGAAACTCTAATACTTTGTCCATCTGATGCAAAGAACTGACTCATTTGAAAAGACCATAATGCTAGGAAAGATGGAATGCGAGAGAAGACGGCGACAGAGGGTGAGATGGTTGGATGGCATCACTGACTCAATGGACATGAGTTTGAGCAAGCTCCAGGAGTTGGCGATGCACAGGGAAGCCTGGTGTGCTGCAGTCCATGTGGTCACAAGAGTCAGACATGACTGAGCAACTGAACTGAACTGAACACAGATCAGTTTTTCTTTAAATAGAATGCTTGCATTATTCTTCATTAAAAAAGATCCACATAACTAGACTGATCATAATGGCAACAAAACAATTTGTTGCCTAATGTCAATTTGTTCTGCCTAATGTCAATTCATAGTTTAAGGTTTTAGTAAATCTTAAGGCTTACCTGGTGGCTCATATGGTAAAGAATCTCCCTGCAGTTCAGGAGAACTGGGTTCAATTCCTGGGTTGAGAAGATCCTCTGGAGAAGGGAATGGCAACCCACTCCAGTAGTCTTGCCTGGAGAATTCCATGGACAGAGAAACCTGGTGGGCTACAATTCACAGGGTCGCAAAGCATCGGACACGACTGAGCAACTAACACTTTCACTTTTTCATTTCATTCACAAAGTATAAATAAAGCAGGAGAACTTAACACTCACACTTTGCTCTCAAGAATCATGTTATCCTTCACCCTGATTTTCCCACCAAAGTGATGGCATCTGCAAAGTGGTCTTAACATTTCTGTAGCACCTTGGGCTCAGGATTCCTGCAAAGTCACCCAAACTTATTAAATACAATGCTTAAAATAATGAATTAAAATGTATTGATCATTGAACTGCTCAACTTCTATGCAGTAGAAGGTCAGAAGACAACTCGTAAAAAGATAAGAAAATATGATTTTATCTTATATTGCTTAAGATACAGGAGAAATATACACAGTCATGCTTTTAAAGCCTTTGGAAATACATTCGGGAGAAAACAAGAAAAAATATTGGTGGTAGAGTAAACAGTCAGAATATAGATAGTCAGTCTGCATTAAGTCCTCATTAAGTCCTCATCCTGGGCATCTGTAGTGTGACTGGTTGGCAGTCTCTGGTCTGCGGAGAGCCCGTGGCTGCGGGACTTGTGACAGCAGTAACCATGTGACTCCAACACTGTCACTACTACTGGGCTGACTGCTGTTCATTCGGCACCATGTATTAGACATGCCCTCAGTTAATCTTCACGAGAACTTGGTGAGATGGTATTATTATCCAGATTTTAAAGAGGAGGAAGCTGAGAAGACAGCCATAAAAAAAAAAAAAAAAACAAAGCAGTGCCATTTGCAGCAACATGAATAGACCTGGAGATTATCACACTGAGTGAAGTAAGACAGACAGAGAAAGACAAATATCATATGATATCACTTATATGCAGAAACTGAAAATAAGACTTGAACTTATTTACAGAACAGAAATAGAACCACAGATGTAGAGAATAAGTTTATAGTTACCAAAGAGGATGAGGGAGGGATAATTTAGGAGTTTTGGATTAATATGGACACACTACTATATATATATATAATAAAACAGATAGGCAATAAGGTCCTACTGTATAGCACAGGGAGCTATATTCAGTATCTTATAATAACCTATAATGGAAAAGATTATGAAAAAGAAGATACATATATAGATATCAAAAGAACTGAATCACTTTGCTGTACACTTGAATCTAACACAACATTATTAATCAACTACTGTACTTCAACAGGAAAAAAGGGGCTGAGAAGAGAGATGCCTAGATCCTTTCCAAGGTCAGCCAAGTAGAAAATGTCAGAATCCAGACTGGAACCCAGGTCACGTGATTTCAAAACCCGTGCTTTGACTACTAATCCCCGTGTCCAGACGAGAGTGTGTTTTTCAATCCTCCTCTTGGTTGCTCTTTTCTAAGGGTCTCACTTGCTTCACCCCAGGGCTCTGGGCATTTTCTCAACTTCACTTTTTTTCTGCCTGTTTCTCCCAGCAAATTCCAGGTGGAGGATGGAGCAGAGCTCAAAGAGCAGCAGGTGAGGGAGTGCTTCCAGCAGAACTTTGTATGCATTGAGTTAGATGGGGCAGTGATGGGGCAGATGGCAGGAGGAGAGAGAGACAGGGTTCTTTCACTGATTTGGCTATAAGGGTAAAACTATTTAGTAAAGTAATTGAGTCTCTTTGGCAAGCTTTTGAAAATTAATCTGCTGAATTATTTTATTCATTTTATTTATTTTAGGCTTCATTGGGTCTTCATTGCTACATGGGGGTTTTCCCTAGTTTCAGCGAGCAGCAGCTACTCCTTTGTTGCAGTAAACAGGATTCTCATCGCAGTGGTTCCTCTTGCTTCAGGGTACAGGCTCTAGGGCACCACGAGCTGTGGTGAATGGGCCTGGGTGTCCCATGGCATATGGAATCTTCCTGGATCAAATATCGAACCCGTGTCCCCTACATCGGCAGGTGGATTCTTAGCCACTGGGCCACAGGGAAGTCCTCTCAGGCCTTTTTAATCAAAATGTTTTCTCTCTTAGTGATCTGAGGCCTGAGACTATGCGTGGACAAATAATTCTCTGGATAGACCCCTCTAGGCCTCCAACACTAGGAGGCTTAATCTTGGCTGGCTTCTGCATAAGCAAGAATACACACCACTTTGTTCCAGTTATTTTTGCTGTGTAACAAACACCTTTAAACTCAGAGGGTATGAATTGGCACATCTCTCAGGATGCTGTGGGGTGAGTGGACTGAGCTGACAGACTCTCCCTCAAGGTCTCATATACAATGTAATCAGACAGTGGCTGAGTCTGGAGTCACCTGAGGGTTTGTTTCCTGTAACCTGAGTGTGAATGGCTGGAAACTCTGGAGCAGGTTGGGTTTCTTTCCATGGAGCCTCTCCATGTAGTTAGCTTGGGCCTTCTCACAGCATAATGGTCTCAGAGTTACCAGCAGTCACACACTGGGGCTGCCTTGTGCAAACTTGTAAGAATTGATTCTGTGTATTTCTTCCCAACTCTTGCTTTCAGCGCTGTCACTCTGGTGACTTGAAATCAGCCATGGTGGGAGGGAATACTTATATCATGAAAATTGGTAAACTGTGCAAATCAGGGGAATTCCCCCACCCTCAGAGATCCAGGTTACCAGCACATGATTTTATATGGTGGTTGGCTTCCCCTAGAGTGAATAAGCCAAGAAAACCAGGAGGAGGGTGCAAAGCTTCTGAGAACTTATTTATGGATGCTCCCATAATTCACTTTCTTTTTATCCTATTGATCATCAAGTCCCTAAGGCTATGCCTGATTCAAGAAGAGAATTACCCATGTCCCATGGAAGAGTAGCAAAGAGATTGTATTACAGAGGACCCAACACATAACAGGCATTCAACAAGTGTTTGATGAATGAATGAATGAGCAAAGTCACTTAAACTCTAATCGGTATCTCCTTAAGTCACCCTGAAAGTGTAAAGCTTTCTGGAAAGTTTTACATCAACATCAGAGAGACCAGTGAACTTTTAAGTCCCCAAAGAGCCTAAATCTAAAACCGCTTGATATAGATCTATTTACACTCTGTCTGCCAGTATTCGCAGAACTGTTTACTTAAGCCCGTCCCACTTACGTGCTCACCTGGGACTGTACACACGACAATGGCAATTGCTTATTTTATTGATGTTTGCATCCTAGGTAAGTTTGCTCTACCTCTCTAAGTAAATTGCAGATTCCTTGAGAGAGTTCACATGTATTTCTTTGCCATTCCTTCTCCCCACCTTACCAAAACTAGATGATCATACATACACATACACATGGATACTTATAAGAGATATGGCTGTATTTCATAAATGTTCTCATTTGACTCATATTCATCCAGTGAAGGAGGCATTATTATTTCCATTTCATAATTGAGGAAAGTGAGACTCAAGAAAATTAAACAGTTTGTTCAAATTCACACTAGGAGGTGGGAAGCTAGGATTTCGACTTAGACCTGCATGAGTCCAAGGCCAGAGCTGTATGTGTTCTTTCCCATTGAAATACACACTCCCATCTCCCCTTACTTTTCTTTGCCCTCCCCATGTTGAAGTAGTCACAAAAGTCATAGAAATGCTAATGTTTTTAAACCCCAGATAGACTAATGGCTGTTTCAAGTTCTGCTCTAGTGAGAAATGTCCTTAAAAGGCTTTGGAGAGGACTTCCCTGGCGGCACAATGGATAAGAATCTGCCTGCCAGAGTAGGGGATGTGGATTTGATCCCTGATCCAAACAGATTCCACATGCTGCAGAGCAACTGAGTCCATGTGCTTCAACTTCTGAGTCTGTATGCCACAAATACTGAAGCCTGCATGCCCTAGAACCACACACCACCACTACTGAGCTCACAGGCTGCAATGACTGAAGCCTGAACACCAAGAGCCTGTGCTCCACAACAGGAGAAGCCACCACAGTGAGAAGCCTGGATGCTGCAACGAAGAGTAGTCCCCGCTCATTGCAACCAGAGAAGGCCCTTGGGCAGCAACAAAGATCCAGTGCAAGCAAAAGCAAAAATAAATTATTAACTAAAAAAAAACTCTAATGTTTAAAAAGGAAAAAAACAGCTTGGGAGAGCAAGAAGCATAAAGTGTCTTACACTAGGAAGGGAGTGAGTCTGGTAGCAGAGAGTTCAGCTAAGCAACTCTTACAATAATACAGGCAAAAAGCATTGATGGGATGGACCAAGGTAGGAGCGGCGGGATGGGAAGATGTGAAAAATTTTGAAAACTATTGAGAAGACAGATCAACAGTCCAGTGATGGTTTGGATTGTGTGGGTGCTGATCAGTCTTTGTAGAATCGCTGCTATGGCTGCTCCGGGAGAATGAGGCTGGAGAGAGGAAGCCGGGATGGGAGGGTTCCGTGTTCGTGGGGAAGAAAGTAGCCGTGGAAGTGGGAGAGAGGATGGATCTGAGAGAACATGGAAGAAGAATCTACGGGACGTGCTGCCGAGCTAGACGTGGGAATGAGAGGGCGAAGGAGGGGTCAAGGGTGAAGTTCAGAAATCTGTTGCGGACAGCCGGGTGCTTTTCACAGAGGTGGGGGACACAGGGCTAGGGGGAAGGGGAGCAGCTTTCAGGCAGGGATGGATTCTGGATGTGCTAGGTTTGAGGTGAATGTGTAAGCTGGCGCTGGCAGCCAGAATGCAATTACATTTAAAACAAAACAAGCATCTCTTATCTCAGTGAGATTCTTTGTCTCCTTCAGAGGCTGTAGATGAAAGCACTGAAGCCTGTGTGATGCAGGGTTCTGCGTCAGGTCATAAAGGAACTCTGCAGTTCTCAATGTTTTCACTTTATTGTGGTTCAACTCTCTCTCAAAAGCCATTTATCACCCAGTAGGGGCCTCTGTCATCACCGTGATGTCTTTATCGAGACTTCCAAAGCTCATGGGAGCGGTGTGATTTGATCAGTGGCAGTGACTCACATAACTCATAGAAAGTGTGGCGGGGAGGTTTCAGCAGCCCCTAGGACCTACAGGTTGGCCACACACACACACACACACACAAACACACACACACACACACACCCCGTAGGTTAAAACTCGTATGGACAGGCTCTGAGACATTTTTGCATGCTTCTGCCCCACAAAAGAGCACAGGCATTGTTTACACAAGGCCCCTGCATGTCAGGACAGGGAGCCTGGGCCTTCATGCCTGCTACAATCAAAGGAGAAAGGGAAGCATTCAAGCGGGTGAATGAGCAGATGAAGGCTCTCCAGGGAGCTACTGCTTTTCCGCACAACTTTCATCATGAAACCCTCTACCCAAAATGCAAAGCCAGTTGGTAGGAAGGCAAATTACATAGGGTCTGCCAGCTCAAGGAGACCACTTGTAGGTGCTTCTTCAGTGTATTCATTGTGCCAGTGTTAGGACACCCGAAACCAAGCCCAGGTTAAACTCCCATGCCCACTGCAGTGCAAGCTAAGTGGTCACCCAGCTCAGGGCCTGCCAGCCCACCGGGTGGGGACCAGCTGCCTGAGAACCAACTGCCCTCCTCACTCAGAATGTCCTTTGACCCAACTCCAACTTTACCCAGAGATACCCTAAAAAGTCCCCCCTCAAATCAAACTTTCTTGCATGGAAACACTCTACAAAGGAGCTTCCTTACCTGAGAAGGTCCCGGTGCCCGGCCGTGGAAAAAAAAAAACAAAAAAACCAAGTTCCAGCAGATGTGACAGGGACTCATAGAGCAGATCTGTTGCTTTTAAAAGAAGAAAGGTGACTTCATCCCTGGTGCCGTGGTGTTTAGAAGAGCAGCGAATGCTGCCTGGCTGAGCCAACTCGGCCTCACCAGCGATGACTCCATCCAAATTATGCAGCCGCTGCCCAGACATGCTCAGCCTTCAGAAGGTGGATCGCTGGAATCTGGCTTGCCCCGTCATTTTCAGAAAGTTTCAGAAAGTCCAGAAGCACCAATCGCCTTCACTGGCACCAGGGGTAGGGAAACCAGGCACTTCTTTCCCACCGAGTCATATCATTATCTCCCAAGAATCCAACACTCTAGGGAAGGAAAACAGGTATTTAAACTTCTGAGAGGTAGCAATTCTTGGGGAAGAAGGGGAGAGAAGAAGGAAAACCTTTCAAGCAGGATGCGGGTGGGGGGCAATAAGAAGCTGGAAACGATCACCGTGCTAAGAGGTTTGCAGAGCTGGTGGGTTTGTGAGCCTACAATGGTGACAAATAGGTGATGGACTGGACTTTTCAGAAGGGAAAGTATCTAGTTCAACAAAAGGAATGAGTCACTGTAAGAAAGGAAAGGTGATAGTCTTTCTTTGTTTCTTTCTTTCTTTTTTAGGACTGATCTGAACTTTT